TAACACCATCTAAATTATACTATAAGCAAATTAATTTTCATTTTTGGTTAGTACTGAGCTTCTTCAGTTTGTATATATATATATATTCTGAATATTCCAGAGCAGACAACAGCCAACACGACTTTGCGACAAAGAACGCGTAAACTCGATGCGTAAACTCATTATTTAAATTATTACATGTAATATAAGGTTTTGAGTCCAAAAAAAGTATACTTAACGATCTATAATCAAATGTTGGGACTTGGGAAATAAATCCATTTTTAAAATTTTGGCTGCTATATTGACATTGGACGAGCTAACTGATAATAGACTTTCACAACGTGCACATAATGGCCAAAACGGGCACATTTCATACGGATTAAAAATAGTTGTAAGCAGAAATGTTTATATGGATCATTTCTGGTCTTCACTTATGTTAGTCACGTCTCTTGTTTGATGCTTTTATACTAGCACAGGTTGCACCTCCCTGTCTGTAACAGTTCTTGAATGAGATAATACAGTTTCGCATACTACCATCCCACAGGCACTGAACCACGTGACCTAGCCATGTGATATTGATTGGATAGAACGCACCCCCGGAGTGGAATGAAAAGACAGAATTTCAGACTAATATAACACACGCAATATACAATTCCCGTTTTACCGAAATCAAAGATGGTGGACAAACCATGTGGCTGCTCAAAATTAATTTTTCCCGTAAGAAGCTTTGTCCATACATGTCATATAGCAAATATCAAGTTTGATGAAAGCACTCATGAGAAACAAATGCCCGAATTTCCAAGATGGTGGCTAAACCACGCGTCTGATCAAAATTATGTGAGAAACAAATGCTCGATTTTTTTTCCATTTTTATCAACAATCGAGGATGGCGTCGTAACCATATTTTATTTTTCTGATAAATCAAACATTCTATATGCACTATATTAAGTTGATTGATTAAAGTATCCAGGAGAAACAAATGCCGAATTATTTAGCCATTTTTGCAGAAAATGAAAAATGGCGACAAAACCCATGTGACTGATCAGAATTATTTTAATGCTCCTTGAAGGGGTTCAAAGGAAAGATGCAACATGGGAAATTTCAAGAATTTAAAACTGCAGAATATAAACTGGGTAAAACATATATGAACTATCGTTTAAATTATCAATACATAGCCGTTCAAGAGCTTTTCATTCTAAATTATTACATAATACCAAAGAAACAGATCTTCTAATTCTAATTCCAAATAAATATACAATATTGTGTACAGGAAATAAAAACTATTATTCATTTATTTTAGTGTAGGGCCGCGGTGATTCTTTAGAAGGACATTCAATCTGTCACATCAACACTGTGCATGATTTTAGGAGATCCGGACGAAACTATCATTGTAAATTAAGTCCGCGGATATGTTATCATCGTTTACAGGGTTTCAATCGTGGCTGGAAAATGTGCATATAATTAAAATAAAATAAAATAGCGAATATAAAAAAATAAGTTATTACATATTAGGAAATCGTAATCTCTAGTGTCATGAGAGCATCCCAGATCACAAATCTGATCACAGAACCTCAAGCAGACACTGTCAGCCTAGATACTTTTATTACATCTTTTCTTAGATATGTAAATGAGCTACTTAATATGCACTAATCTGTACAAAAATGATACATGTACGTGTCTGATTGGGTGATTGGTTGCTATCTGAGACAGCAGAAATTGTCTAGAGAGAACACATTGATAAGAATTGTTCCAGAAAACCATTAATGTAGGGAATGACATTATATTTCATGTCATGCCGATTTTTACAGTCTGTTTTTTTTTTCAGATAACTATTTTTAAAACAAAGTTTTCGAACATGAATACATGGAACATAATGATTCAGATGATGCAAAAAAATTAGGACAAATCTCATCTCAATGACATGAGTTTCCATTGATGATATGGTGTAGTAAATATTTGACACTACTTCGGCAAATCAGTTAATAGTAACTGTACGGTTTTACAACCTCTAATAAAAGACAAGTCTGTTATCACGGGAATTGTAGATAAAATCGGCGGATCTGGACTGACTTGTTATCATTTACAGTCGGTATTTCATAATACTGGTGTATGCGAATTGTCAAAGAAAGTAAACCACCAAAAAAACACACTGTAGAATTATTAGAAGTAGATAAATATATAATGTAAATATGTAATGTAAAAATTTTTGCTGGCATTTAGTAATTTCACTATTTTGATGTTTTTATCACGAATTATATTGTTCTACGTGTTCACATTGTTTTAATTTAGCGAATTTGACTCATCACAAAATTAAAAATCAGTGAATAATTATTACTAATCTGTTTACCGTAGTACACAGTAAACACCCACCTACCTCAACACACACAGAAACCCACCCACCGTTTCTTTTAAAATTGCCTTAAAAATGTTATTTCATTAAAAATGTTTTAACTTTATATCAAATTATTCAAACACAATGAGTTATCGAGTTACCAGCAAAAAAAACTTGAAGAAGAATTGGAATGCAATAGTCGCCACTAGAGGGCGCTGCTTGGAGACATAACAAAGTAATCTAGAAAATTCAATCGGGTACCTATATTTTTTAGTAAGGAATTCTATAAATATATAAGGTAAACTACACATTCAAAAGATATTTAAAAATTCTTCAGGTCGATTTTAGAAATATACGTCCAGGCTGAAATAAAAAAAATGGATTATTATACATAGCTGTGTCACACTAGCACAAGCTAATCTTGTTTACTGTTGGCTTAAAACATTCTCAAAGTTATACTAACCAAACCATTTTGGCATCGGTGGTCGTCGTTCAGCGATTGATCGAAATTCATCTGAACAAAAATGAATGTTACACGTTTGATTTTGCTTTCAGTATATTGCGCCCTCTATCGACTTATCGGCACAATGAAACAAAAACCAATCGACAAGCAAACAAGAGGTTGGTAACTAGTATATTATTAATTACTCGCGTATCAGAGAGTCAAGGTTATTGGTCAAGAGCTGTCACATGATATTTCGATGTTGATCCAACCCAGCATATTTTTGCCACTGTCGACATGTTGTGCGTTATTAAACCTCAATGACATCATAACGTTAGATTGTAGTGGACGATTACAAGACGCATGCACTTTCCAATGCGTTTCGCCGCCGGGGACTACTTTTGATTTCAACTCGGAAAATTCCGTTTTATTCTAGTTCCTTGTTGTCATTGGCCTTGGTTTTGGCTGATATCAAGAACTATCTTCCCAATGTGGATATTAAAGCGAGGGAGTCGTCACCTGCGCATGCGTCAGATGGCCATAGCGTGTCATTGTTTACAAGCAAGCGTCTAC